AAATCCGTCAAGCATATCTTCAAAACAACATTTTTTATCATTGTTGGGTTGGGTATTGGTGACATAGTGCAAGGCATGTGCATAAAAACAAATCAACATCGGTTTTGATTTCATTGGGACCTAAATTATATTTCCCAACAATCACTACCAATGCACTGTGTCTGATTGGTGCCGTGTCTTATGTTTTACTCACCTCCCCTTGATGTGTATATGCTGTTGTTTCTCTCACAGTGTACGAAATGTGGCAGAAAATGACTACATCACAACCTGGCAGCTGGGGACTCTGTATGGATCGGTTTGCACTGGGAACAGCTGTGGTCTGATGGGAGCAACTCGCTGTTTCAGAACTGGGCCGGTGGGCAACCAGACAGCGCAGAGCAGTGTGTCACCACATCGTTCAGTAACTCAGGACTGTGGTCAGATGATAGCTGCTCCCTCACTTTCCCGTTCATCTGTTACTCAACAAGTAATGTTATTTCTACTCACATACTGTATAGAGATTCATTGTGGCATTAAGGCAGTCGAGTTAATTATTAGCAATTATATATTGTACCTTTAAGATCAGAAGTACACTCATTCTAGACTTGTGTACATAGGAAAGTCTGTTAAGGCAGAAACATGAATGTTCTGTATTTTTAATGTTCTTCTGCTAAATGCTGTTCAGAAAGTTATATACAGCAGATAAACCTGTGGAAATCTAGTGATCATGTTGTAAGCAGCACAGTACGTAAAACTTACATTACTAAAGAAATGGCATTTCTTGTCTGTAAGGTGAATGTTTGCATTCTATAAATGTGTGCTCAGTAGACACAGGACCTCCAAAATAAAATAAAATGAAAACTATCAATACAGAAATCTGCAAATAAAATAAACGTTTTGCGACAACAAAAACAACAAATACCATAAACATTGTCATCTATAGCTTACAAAAATGTTTCTCATCAGTATAATGCTGTTTAAACTGATGAATTCTTAATTTATTGTTCATTACCAATGTCTTGTGAAACACACTGTGATGTGGTTAGATGTAAAATGTGACATAATTTTTGCTAACACAAACTTCAGTATTAAATAATTTTATTTCACATAGCCCATCAGGTTTTATTAACAATGGGATACAAAATGGATCAACCTTAAAAGCAAGCTGGAGGATAAATAATTTTTCACGCAATGTTTTTGTTGATAAATTAATTCACTTCTCTTCTTCTGTCTCAGCTCCTCCAAAAACAGAAGACTTCAGATCAATAGGACAAAATGAGACCAGTATCACTCTGCAGTGGAATAAAGTGAACAACAACTTCAGCTTTATTCTCCAGTTTAATGATGCAGAGATCAACATCACTGCACCAGATGGAGATGGACCAGTAACTTACAGAGTCTCATCTCTCACTGCTGCAACTGAATACACATTCACTCTCTTCTCTGTGTTTGAGAACGTCAGAAGCAGCGGAGTAAACATTACTGCAGTTACCGGTAATATATGTCACTTTATTTCTATGCTCTGTATCTGCTTAGCGAGCCATCATCTGCTTTTCAGAGCACCAGTGTAAAACTAAGACGTATCTACTGGGTATAATATTCATTAAAGTAATGTGCTACTCAACAACATGCATTTTTTTGCATGTTAATTTAACTCAGCATTGCTTTGTCCAGCACTGTAAAATCCTTTTAATTTTATGAAAATGTTTTTTTTAAATTTTGGTACATTGTGATTTTTAATTTATCATGGAGTACATCTGTTAGTAAATTGAAGAATTGTTTCACTTGCTCTTTCCCTGACAGACAACATTAGTTTTTATTAACTTTAGGGTAAAAAAAAGAACCACCTTTAACTGACATTACTTAATATTTATTACACTAAATAAAATTTTTTTCAATGTTTTGTTTGTCTGTCTCAGCTCCTCCAAACGTAGTAAACTTTAAATCAACAGCACAAGATGTCACCAGTATCACTCTGCAGTGGAACAAAGTGAACAACAGCGTCAGCTTTATTCTCCAGTTTAATGATGCAGAGATCAGCATCACTGCACCAGATGGAGATGGACCAGTAACTTACACAGTCTCATCTCTCACTGCTGCAACTGAATACACATTCACTCTCCTCTCTGTGTTTGAGAACGTCAGAAGCAGTGGAGTGAGCGTTACTGCAGTTACTGGTAAGATGTTTGACTTCATTAATATGTATTTAACCAGGAATAACATTTTCATCTTGCAGCTTTGGATCTGCACCAAATTTGATAAGTATAACAATAGTTCCGCCCTGAACGTGTCCATATGCCAATATTCACTCAAAGTCATAGCGCCACCTGCTGACACGTTTTATGCTGTAATGTACTACTCCTACCAGGTTGGATGTATCAACTTCAAAACTGTCCCAGAAAACCCATAACACATTGATGAAGCTATGATGTTAAATTTGTGAGTTTAACATCATAGCGAAGTCCCATACTCATAGCGCCACCTCCTGGCAAGCACCTTCAAAGAAGCAGCCCCCTTGGCACGTTTCACCTACATGTATGAAATTTCTGTGGCATGTGTATCGTGTCCAGACGTACCAAAAGCCTCTTTGCCATTTTGAATTTTATGGTCATTTTTGGATGATTTACACACTCCGTACTTTAACGAACTCCTCCTAGGCATTAGTCCGATCGACTTCAAATTTCTGCTGTGCCTTATAAAGGCATTGACGATGAAAAGTTGTGCTATCTGCAAGTTTTTGTCAATGGGCGTGTCCGTGGCATGGCGTCCGAAATCGCTGATTCGCCGTGAAACAGGAAGTTGCTATAACTTCAGTGTGCATGCTCAGATCTGCACCAAACTGCACATGTTGGACAAGAGTCCCGCCCGGAACACATCCATATGCCAACAAACACACAATGTCATAGCGCCTCCTGCTGGCAACAGGAAGTGTCAAGGGAATTAATCAGATGGACTTAAATTTTAGACTGTGCCTTCTAAAGGCATTGACGATGAAAAGTTGTGCTGTTTTTGTCGATGGGCATGTCCGTGGTGTGGTGTCAAGGATCAACAGTTCAGCATAAAACAGTAAATTTATAATAACTTTAATGTGCAAGCTCTGATCTGTACCAAACTTTACATGGTCGATAACAGTCCCATCCTGAACACATCTACATGAAAATATTCACTCAAAGTCATAGCATCACCCACTGGTAAAAGAAGTAAGGTGTTTCTGACAAAACGTGGCTGCCTCACACCAGAGGGCTTGCCCAACGCTGCTTACAGCTTTAACTTATTACTTTAACTTATTACTTGTTTTCTTTTTTTTTTTAAATGCATATTTCATTTTATTTTTTATTTTTTGATATATCATGCAACTGAAATTTGTTTGTCTCATTATGAATTACCAATTCATCTTAAAATATTTGTCTTTCCATGTTAACAAAAACCATCTTTCTAAAACATCTCTGACTAGTATTTTGGCAACAAACTGCAACAAACAGTACAACTTACAATATAGAAAATGCTTAAAATGACAAAAAAAAGTACTGGTTAGAACTGGTTCTTTTTTATTATCAGTGGTAACAGTGTTAAGGCATTAGACAAAAAATCCAGCAAGGCTGTTTGGTTCAGTTTCAGTGGAGCATTCATTGTTTAGTCATGATACAAAAAAAAATCTCATCATCAAGGAAAATGCAACTCCACAATATAGCTGAACCCACCTGAAACACAGTGCCTTTTTATGTTCACTTTTAAAGAGTCTGCATGCTTTATAAGTAATTAATAAAAATTGAATGTGCTTTGTTTTAGGAAATCGTCAGTACTACTTTGAGAGTACGCCACTGAACTGGACTGAAGCTCAAAGCTTCTGCAGAGAGGTCTACACTGACCTGGCCACCATAGAAACCACAACTGACTACTATGCTGTGAGCAACACCAAACTAAACTACCTAGGCAAGTTCTGAAACTGGAATAACATACTGTACATAACATAAACATAACATATACGGTGTGTGTATATATATATATATATATATATATATATATATATATATATATATATATATATATAAAATTATAAAATATGATAATGTGGAATGTAAAAGAACAACAAAGGCCCTCACTGAAATACATCCATAGTATTGTTTCAAAGAGTAATCAACTGGAACATTTATTGTATGACTGTAATCTGTATTTTGTCTGTATTTGTCTAATTAAATTCTCTCCTCTGGGTATTTTTAATGTCCCTGGGTACAACATGTTCAGGAGGGACCGAGACAAGGGTAAAGGTGGAGGATTATTAATCTATGTTAAAGAGACAATTATATGCGGTCTCATTGAGTGGTCACATGTAACCGACATGGAATGTATTGGATTGAATATTTCAATGTCTCCAGAAATGTATTTTACTGTTGTCTGTCTGTATTGACTACCATCATCTAAAAGCTTGTTTTATGAGCAGCTATACAGAATACTTAAAGAATGTGACGGTTAAAAAATATTATATTAATGGGTGATTTAAACATAAATTTGGATAATAAATCAGATAGAAAAAACTTAAGGAGATAACAGGCCAGTTTAGTCTTACTCAATTGGTGCAAGGACCAAATGGAGTAACCAGTTAATCCCCAACACAAATTGATCTGATGTTCACAAACAGACCTGAAAGAATAACAAAGTCCTTTAACTTGTTAACTGGCTTGTCTGATCATAATACAAACTGACTGGTCTCACATTTTATCCAGTGAAGAAGTTGAGAACAGCAGAACTATACAGAACTTTAAACAAAGTAATGTCCTCCTTCGCAAGGAAGGTGCAACACAAACTTATACATAAAAATACTTTAACATGGCTTAATGAAACTATTCGACAACAAATGAAAGAACAAGACCTGGCATTGAAAAGAGCACTTAAATCAGGTAAAAGTAATGATAGGCTTATCTTTACATCACTTCGAACTAAGGTAGTGAGGAATATAAAGAAGGCTAAAGTTGAGATTTTTTATTAGCGTTATTAATGATGCCAGGGGAAATGGGAAATCTGTCTGTAAAAATGTCAGTAGACTAACTAGAAGTAATAAAGATCAGAGAACAAAGGAACCTGAACTTATGGAATTTTAACACACATTATGATGACTTGATAGCAAGTACTATGATTATTTCTTTTATAAATTCAGTTGAGGAGTTGGCCCAGAGCTTCTCTCCTAGAACTACAGATTGTATCCCAATCAATGATGCCAAGCCAATTTTTAGAATAACAGAAATAACTGAATCAGAGATTAAAAACGTTATAAGCTCCTTAAGAGACTCAAAAGCAAAGGATGCGTATGGATTGGATACCACATTTTTTTAAATCAAACAAGGATGTCCTAGTCTGTCCAATTGCTCGTGTGATTAATTTATCAATTATGCATGGTATTTTTCCAAGCAACTGGAAGACAGCTGTTGTGACACACATTTTTAAGGCAGGTGACTGAACAACAGTGGGAAATTAAAGACCCATCAGTATTTTTCCCATGGTATCAAAGTTTGACGAAAGACCCATCTTTCAAAGCAGCTGACTACTCATCTGAGCACAAATTACTTTCTTTTGCAACCAATGAAATTTGGATTCCGTTTCAGTCACTCTACCAAAACAGCCAACTGTTATTTTATTGAAAATATAAAATCAAAATTAGATGAAGGTGGTGAAATAGGAGGAGTTTTGGGAAGTAAACCATGAAGAGTTTGACAAGTAAACCATGAGGTACTCCTCTCAAAGCTATCCTTTTTAAATTTTTCCAAAGATGCAATTAAATGGATGACCTCATACCTAAGCAACAGGAAGCAAAGTGTACATATTTGCAATGCTCAGGCTACATACCTATGTAGTATGAGGGTTTTGGTATGGGTAATAAGTATTTCTTCCCACTTCAGTCTCAGTAGATTCAGTATACGTCCAGAATTAACCAGATTGACCTTGGACCAGAGGCTGGAAACTCAAATTTTAACACTTTATTAACAAACGACTAAAACAAACAAAAACACCATAAGAACTGGGCAACATACAGACCCACTTAGCGCCACAAAAACCACTCTACATTTCACTGTAATGGTCACAGCTACTATGAGTGGATCAACAATACACACCGTGCAGACTCACGGTTCGTATAACATTATGATAACTGAATAAACTACAGTATAATTGCACAGAAGACAGTAATATTACACGTTACCCTAGCCCAAAATTGAATAATAAATTCTAAAATAGTGTATTTTGCACCTTTAATTTAAATGTACTGCTATATACACAAAAGTGCAATAACATGTGGTTTGCAAACACTTTAAACAAATAAGATGCTTTTTACCAGCAGTATTCCCTTTACACAGTAGCAATAAAATATTTCTTGTAAACTCAACTTAAACATTAATTTTATAAAATCAAATATTAAACCAAAGCTATTTTCCACTGCCAGGCCATTACTCTTTATTTTTTACCACCGGAGTCCAGTTTTCTTTTTTTTTTTTCGGAACATATATGAGTAGAAACATTTTTCTTTAATCAAGGAGCAGCTGAAACAGTCTTTGTTCAGTAGAAAGTTTCCCTGCAGGTGAAGTGGTTGAGCAAAAGGTGTAGCGACAAGCGGTTGCGTTCCCCTGAAATTTTCACAGTTGTGCTCACCTCACGCACACACCCACCAGCTGCCAAAGTTTAACTTTTTGTCCGCAACGTGGAGCACAAATCATTGAAAGAGAGAGACTGATCCTTGCTGTTTGTGAGTTTCCAGAATCTATTACTGTTTACTAAATAATTATCAGGACATCAACAAGAGGGAATTCGCATGGCAGTGCATTCCCGCAAAACTAGATTACCTGTACCTGTATCCCTGAGTAGGATATTACTCTTCCATATTCTGTAACCAGAAGTCTGGTGCAAGGGACAGAGAAACAGAGTCCTAAAGATAACCCTGTTACACCTAAATTGTAATATTGGTGTTCCCCAATGGTCAATGCTGGGCCCAATTTTGTTTATCTTGTACAGTGCCTATAAAAAGTATTCATTCCCTTGGATGTTTCACCCTTTTTTTTCTTTTATACATGAAACCATGGTCAATATAATTTAGCGTTTTAGTGCCAAGTTTAGTGCCTTTTTTCCCCCTCTTTAATATCAAAGTGAAAATGGATTTTTACAAACTAATGTCAATTAATTAAAATATATATGGTAAAGAAGAAAAGTGCATATAAATATTCACCCCCTTCAGGTCAGTATTTAGTAGATGCACCTTTTGCTGCAATTACAGCACTGAGTCTGTGTGGACATGTTTCAATCAGGCTGGCACATCTGGACACTGCAATTTTTCTCCATTCTTCCTTGCAAAACAGCTCTGTCAGGTTGCTCAGGGATCGAGCGTGAACAGCTCTTTTCAGGTCCAGCCACAAATTCTCGATTGGAATGAGATCTGGGCTTTTTAGTTTTGCCACTCCAGAACATTCACCTTGTTGTCTTTGAACCATTTCTCTGAAGCATTTGCTATATGCTTGGGGTCGTTGTCTTGCTGGGAAATAAATCTTCTCCGAAGTTGTAATTCACTTGCAGACTGAGTCAGATTATCCTCCAGGATTTTCCAATATTTGGACCCTTATACCTTTACAAGCCTTCCAGGGCCTGCTGTTGCGAAGCATAGCATCTAGTTTAATGGCCAAAAAGCAAAATTTTTGTCTCATCAGACCAAAGAACCTCTTCCAATTGACCTTGGAGTCTAGCACATGCCTTGGGGCGAATTCCAGGTGAGATTTCATATGAGCTTTTTTCAACAGTGGCTTTCTCTTTGCCACTCTCCCATACAGCCTCGACTGTTGAAGAATCCTGGCAACACTGTATGTATGTACAGTCTCTCCCATCTGAGCCACTGAAGCTTTTAATTAATTTTGTCATGGTGCCCTCCCTCACCAGTCCTCTTCTTGCCCGGTCACTCAGTTTGTGAGGTCCGCCAGCTTTAGGCAGATTTAAACAAGTGCCATGCCCTATTCATTTCTGAATTATGGATTTAACTCAACTCTGTGCGAAGTCTAGAGAGTTGGAAATCTTTTTGTAGCCATCTCCTGATTCTAAGTTGCTTGGAGTGTTCTTTTTTCTTCATGTTGTAATTGTAGTAGGAATACTGATAAACCAGAGACTGGACCTCCCACACACAATTGTTTTTTATACCACAATCACTGGGCACTCAGCTGAACTTAGGTGATCTCCATTTAACTAATTGTGACACTGCTGCCATCAACAAGCTGGACTTCTGTTGCATTAGGTCAGTCAATATAAAGGGGGTGAATATTTATGCAGTCATCTTCTTCACCTTATATATTTTTAATTAATTAGTTTTCAAAATCCGTTTTCACTTTGATATTAAAGAGGGCTTTTTTGAAAATTCTTGTCAAATAAGCCAAATTATATTGACCATGATTTCATGTATAAAAGAAACAAAATGGAGAAACATCCAAGGGGGTGAATACTTTTTATAGGCATTGTATATAAATGACCTACCCTTAGCCTGTCTCTCTGTCAACATACAAATGTTTGCTGGCGACACAGTTCTAACAACAGAGGCAGCCAACCTATGATCTTTTCCCATGTATTGCTTAACAAGCTGGTCTCAAAGAAACACTACAACTCTGAAAGCAGTTGAGTCCCTATACAAACAGAAAATTAATATTTCTTGATAGAAAGGTCAATAGCTATCATCACTGTCATATAAAAAAAATATGAGTAATATAAATCTATTCAGTTTAGTTTAAATAAATTTGCAGATGCTTCACTTATTTTTAAGGTGTTACATGGGCTAGCACCTCCCAAACTTAACCACTTCATAAAGCAGAAGGATAGCAGAGGTAGGATAACAACGGCAGTTAGTAGAGGGGACTGTATTGTGCACTACAGATGTAGTAAATTTGGACAAACGGCATTCTCAATTAGTTCTACCCGTTACTTGAATAGTTTACCTGTTGAATTGAGAGAATGCAACAACTATTTAACTTAATATAAAACATAAACTTAAGACATAGCTTAAGGCACAACAGACTTGCAGCCTCTAGCAATCCAAGCATATGTCTTCAAGAATTTACATAATCTTAACATCTTCTGTTGCATTTGTCATGTATCTATGTATTACCTTGTTTAGGCACTATATGATATTTGGAACTAAATTGTTTGTTTTTTATACATACTTTTATGACTTTTGTAGTGTAGTTATGCTTCATAATTTTAATGTATTATTTCTTGCAGTACTTGTTGAAGCATTGTACTGATGTATTGATGATGTTGGATATTAATTAGTTATAACCTGCTCAGGGACTGGATGAAAAGTTTTTATTTAGCTAACTCCCGGTACATTTACATTGAAGCCTAACTACGGTGTTGATTAATATGCACTGTCCCAGTTAAATAAGACACATTATTTAAGGGATGTTAAGGTCAATTCAGCAATTAATTCAATGTCTTAAATAATGAACATCTGTTTGAACAGGCAAGGCTTGGATAGGCCTCTATGAACACAGCTGGAGATGGTCCCTGAGTGACAGCAGCTACTATGGTGAAGGAGAGACAGAGTTCAGAAACTGGTATCCTGGACATCCCACATATTACAGTCAAGAGGACTGTGTGATGCTTCAAAGCACTCATCATTCAAGTTTCTATGAAGTTAATGATAACATTGGAAAGTGGATGGACGGTTATTGCAAAAGCCGGCTTTTCTTTGTGTGCTACAACGGTGAGTTTTTTTATAAGGTAAAGAATTAACAAAGGACTGAATAGATCTGCATCACACATTTTCAATAACCTCTTCATCAATATATTTCCAGGCACAGTAAATGGCATACCATCCTTTGTAAAAGTCAAAACACCTTTGAAGTGGACTGAAGCTCAGAGATACTGCAGGAAGAATTATGTCGATCTAGCCAGGTACAGTGTGCACTGATGAAGACTCCAACACATACAATAGTACAGTACATGTGTTCAGTTGATTTGTTTTTTTGATTTTATTGTGAGTTGATTGAATCCCAAATGGATGGGAAAATCTGTCCTGTTTTATTTGATCCTTTTTGTCATTTAAATCCTTCCCTTCCTGTTTTTGTTAATTAGGGCCCAAGTAACTGTGTGAGGTCCCTATTGAAAGTGAAGGAATTATCTATCATGGGCGTAAATGTCATCTAACAGTAGGGGGGCAATAAACATAAAATTTCTCAAGAAAAATTTTGGAGGGGGACACACATAATCCAGCCAAAATTGTAGTTGTATAGGATGTGTGTACACAGAGAGAAGTCTTAGTACTAATTTTCTGCCCAACAACAAAAAGTAATAGTAACTGACCATGGCACAGGAAGTTATTGTAACTTCAGTGTACATGCTCACATCTACACAAAACTTTACGTGCTTGATAACTGTGACACCCTGAACACATCTACACACCAATATTAATTTATAGTCATAGTGCCAAGTACTATGTAGCGCCACAAAGGGCACATAGGAAGTGTGCTTCATGCAGCGTTCGAAGCGCGTAGCGAATTCACAGCCGTACTGGCAGAGCTCCAGAATATGCAACGCGCGAGGGCCCGCTCTACTGAAGGTTTTATTTATTTATTTTTCTGCAAAGTAACCTCAATTTTGGGGGCCTAAACATACTCAAGAACTCACCAGACTTTGCACAAAATTCAGGAGTGGCAAAAAATTTCCTATTTTATGGGATTTGCGCATGGGCGTTGCAAAATGGCTCGCTAGCACCCCCTACAGTGTAGAGCAGACTAAGTTTTCACCTACGTGTAGGAAATTTCTTTGGTATGTTGCCATTGATGCCATTGCCTAAACCTAACAGGAAGTCAGCCATTTTGGATTTTAATGGTCATTTTTGGCGATTTACACACTTTGTACTTTAACAAACTCCTCCAAGGAATTTTGGCCTCTAATCCCACCCTAAAACATTCTCTGCTTTATGGTCTATTTCAAAATAAATGGGACCCTAATTTACTTAACTTACTTAACATAATTTTGTATTGAAGAAGACTTGAAACTAGCGACTGAGACCATAAACTCTGAAAGTGTTTACTGAGGTAATGATTCAGCTGAGTAGGGTCATTTTACCATTGTTTCCAATGGAGCCGGACGTCTTTTTGCAACCAGAAGACGCTGGATTTTAAATAGAATGCAGGTTTCAGGGACTTCCGCATCTGCTTCATATTGTGGACCAGAAGCTTCCCGCTTGTGTCTTGCACTAGCCATAAATATTTTCCAGAAGTAGGGTAGAGTCCTACAGAAGTAACACACCAAGTGGCCATCATTACTAGATTTTATTAGCACTTCCCCAGACAGTTATTAAATAGGATTGCAACTCCTGCAGATCTCGATGTGCCATGTGAGATCTTATCTACCCATTGAGTTGACCAGAATTTTTCATCAGTTATTTGAGTGAGTTTCTTGGATGAGTATACATTGTGGACTTTTGTTTTTACAGGAGAGAAACATAGCTTTTCGTTTCAAGTTGTTTCGTAGGCCCCTAGTTAATAGTTAATAGTTTAAGATTGTTTTAAGGGCATCAAGGAAGTGTAAAGTAAAATATAAAGTAAGTTTAAAAAAGATGAATAAATAAAAAAAGCGCCAGTAAGAGAGGAAGGTTTTAACACTAGCAACGAGCGTTCTTATTTAGATTCTGTAAGAGTTGCAGAAAAAAAAAATTCACGCAGGTCCCTGAAATGCATCATTGATACTGCCAATTGGAGGACGAGAAGGTGAACAACTGTCCATAAACAAACAAATTTAATTATTTTGACTTATTCTCCTGTGTGCAATTTTTGTACCTGGGAATGTTTAGAGCTAGCTTCACAGTGAGTATTAATAACAACAACAGCATGTGATATCAGTTGAACGTGTGCGTGGCATTTTAACCAACTTCAATAGAGTGATTAAATTGATACAGTGCGTATTACAGCGACGTGGACTTGGTAAAATGCTTCGTAGTTGGTGGGAGTTTAGTTGGAGTAACATTCAGTTAGCATCTTATGCCGCCGGAGCTAGCTGTGCTTGGCTTTGATGTATCCATAGGGTTAGCAGTGCTGGCAACGTAGCTGTGAAAAGATAACTTGTTACTCGTGTTAGCATTTGGGCTAGCATTCTTGAGGGGAGGGAAATCCTTGTTGTTGACCTTTTATTGGTTTATTTGCCCTACCTTGCGTTTTAACACTGTTGGTGAGGTGTAGTGAGCATATGTTTTAGTCAATGGCAGTTTTTCAGTTAAATTTTGGGACCAAAACGGACAGAGCTAAAAAATTCTTGTGTGCACTGTTCGCCATCTTACCAGAAGTAATTTTTTTATGCTGTAATGTACTGCTCCTAGCAGGTTGGACATATCAACTTCAAAACTCTCCCAGAAAACCCATAACACATTGATAGCCATGTTAGCCATGTTGTAAAACTTGTTTGAGTTTGCAGTTAACGGCGTGGCTGCAAAGTTATACTCTTCGCCATGACACACAAAGTTGTTGTAACTTGACTGTACATGATCACATCTGTAGCAAATTGTACACATTTGATAACAGACCCGCCCTGAACACATGTACAAGCCATCATTCACCCATAGCCATAGCACCACCTGCTGGCAACAGGAAATATCCTTAAGGAAGCAGCCCCCTAGATGTAAATTTGTGTGGCATGAAAATTACATGAAATTTCTGTGGCGCATGTATCACATCCAGACGTACCAAAAAGCCTCTTGGAGCGATGCTGTAAACCCAACAGGAAGTCAACCATTTTAAAATTTATATTAATTTTATGTCATATTTTCATATGTGCACCGTTCTGAAAGTCCCGTACCAAAACGGTCAGGTACGAATACATGTACCGTTACACCCCTACTAACGATGCACTCCAGTGTCGGATTTTTTTGTCTGTTACTTTTTACCTCTTCAGATATACCCAACTCAACATTCATGTATATGCTACTGTTTCTCTCGCAGTATACGTAATCCGGAAGAAAATTATATCATCACAAACCTGGCAGCTGGGGACTTTGTGTGGATTGGTCTGCGTTGGCAACAACTGTGGTCTGATGGGAGCACCTCTCTAGTACGAAACTGGGCAAGTGGGACACCAGAAAGTGCAGGGCAGTGTGTCACCGCAGTGTTCATTGACTCAGGACTGTGGTCAGATCAGAACTGCTCCCTCTCTTTCCCGTTCATCTGTTACTCAACAAGTAATGCATCTTATTTCTACTCACATACTGTTTAGAGATTTATTGTTGCATTAAAGCAGTTTATTTATATATTAGCAAATATATATTGTAAAATTTAAAATCAGTCTGTTAAAGCAGAAACAAGAATGCTGTTCAGAAGGTTATATACAGCAGATAAATCTAGTGATCATGTTGTAAGCAGCACAGTATTTGACAGTTAGCAGTCCTAAAGATATGGCTTTCATTTAAAGAGGTGGTATTATGCTCATTTTCAGGTTCAAAATCTTTATTAGGGGTTGTACCAAAACAGGTTTACATGGTTTAATTTTCTTTTTTTCCTCATACTGCACATTGCTCATACTGCAGCTCCTCTTTTCACCCTATGTGTTGTACGCTCCACTCCGCTCAGCTACAGAGTGATGCATCTTACTTGCACATGCGCAGTTCCCAGGTAAGGACTACTCGCCAATCAGAAGCAGAGAAGGGCGGGTCGTAAGAAACAAGGTAGTGTGATCCAAATCAAAGCCGCTTCAGACTGAGACAGTAACCTAGCATATGGTATAAGTTACTCAAGTCCACAACCACACATCATTGTTCCACATCTTACGCCGGCAATCCACTGAATCCGTCTATGGCACGTTACGGCTGCGCCACGTTTTTGATGCGTCCTCAGCCCGGCGTCAAAATCCACTGGAAGCATCTCTGAAGCTTTCAGCAGCGGAGCGTGCAGCCTGCCCCACGTTATTGACTTGTTATTAATTTGTAATTTTCATGTTTCTGCTACCTTCTTCACAGCTCTGTGTGACCCCGTTTTGTTCCGTCAACTTCAGGCTGCATTTCCCACAGGGAGCATTTCAGAATCAGAGCGTTTTGCCTGCCTGACTTTGCTGATATGTTTAGATTTTGTTGATCTGGTAACCAGTGTTTGCATTTTGTCCTTCTACTGATTAAGTAGGCTACGTAGTTAAATGATTTCCTCTTGTCTCCGTTTTAACCGTGTTTATTGTTGTTTTACGATCGTGAGTCTCCACGGTGTATTTCATTTTGAAAACTGACCGGATCCTCTATGCCGTACTGTGCCTGACTTCCTGCCTGTTTCGATTTGCTCTGTGCTGCTTGAAGCGGCTAGCGGCAAAAATAGACCTGCTACCTATTCTCTGCGGAGTGGAGCGGAGAGCCGCATCTGGGCCGCTTCTGAGATGTGCTGCGGCCGCAGCTGGTGGACTCACCAGCATTGACTATAATGGCCACGATTAGCTTTGCGACGCAGCCGTAACGCACCGTAGACGGAGTCAGTGGATTTTAGGGGTTACTGTCAGGACTGAACATTGAACTGTTGCAGGTGTTCTGACGATCTATGCTGCCTTGCCAAAAAATGCTTCCATAGCGCAAATGATAGACTCGACTCTACTCGGCCCTGCTCCGTTTTCCATTGCAGATAGTACCTAGAGATAGCAAGGCCATACATAATGGCCGCGAGGTAATGGTCAATGCGACACACACACCAGCAATCCACACAGCTCTTAAAATATATACAGTCTACGGTTAAAATGTTTCAATATCACTCAGAATGTAAAGACAGATAAGCGGTATTAAAACCTTCCAGCTGTGTTTTCCTCTTTTACAACTCATACTCCTTTCTAAAGATCTCAGGTCATATCTTCACAACACTGGGGGCTTTCTCACATTTCTTCAACTTCTTTCTGTCTTTCAGCTAAAAACTACAACTGTTCTACATTTATCAGTACAATTTGAAGTTTATTCAACTTTAAAATCTTATTCATATTCTTTAGAACATTCCCCACGTTTCCAAGATTTCATAGTCCTTCAGCTACTTTCTGCACATTAAAGCCAGCAACGCAGTGTAGCGCAAGCCCTTCATCATTCCTAAAAACATTCCACTTCTTTCATACATTTGTACTATTCAACTTTATTCAAGCCAGCAATTCAGTTTAGCGTAAGCCATTCACCATTCATACTGCAATTTCTTCAGAAATTGCTTTTCTAGTTGCTTATCTTTATTTCGTATTTTTCTTCCATCACATTTTTTTGGACCGTAATTTGTCCCACAGCTTTTGACATAGAAACTCTGTTCAAACTCCAAGTTGTCCGTCTCAATGAGGAATCAGATGCTATTTCTTTTGTTATTGATACCTTGAATACTTTTCAAAACATTCCAGGTTAGGGTTATTATTCCAGGAAATTTTCCCATTCTAAGTGAATGGAGAGACTATCAAAATCCTCCTCATACCTACTCCACTTTGAAAGCTTACCAGCTCAGCATACTTTCAGCTACAGACTTGATTTAAACTGTAAATTGGTCACAAATGTATGCTATGCTTTGGTGATAAGGTGCTACATGTAGACAAACATACAGTTGAAATCAATAAATCTAGAAATATATAAATATGGACTAAACAATGCAAGTTATATAAGAATAATAAAAAGAGATAAAAGAATAGAGAAAAGTTAATACATGGTTTTGACAGAGTGGTTCAATCTGTTGTTTGCTTTTTGTTCCAGGTTATTGATGTGTTTTGTCAAGGTCATGTTGTAGTGAACTTGTGGAGTTTAGAAGCCAGGTCAGAGGAGCATATAATGCGGTCCAGTATGTCTGTATTTCCAGTTTGTGTGCCTCTTGTGTTTGTTTTTTTTTACAATAGAAGTCAACATGTTTTGCATTGAAATCTCCCATGATGACGGTATGGTATGGTAGCTTGGTAGCAGGTTTGCAGAGGGTTTTATTCCAGGGGGACAGTACAGTAGATGCTGATGACTGTCATGGAGTGATGTAGGTGGGTTTTCATTTTTTTGCAACATATTAATTGATGAACCATTGAGGTCTTGTAATATAAGTCCATAATCTATTTCATTATAGTCAGTCATCTTAATCAGAAAGAACATTATTCCTCTTCCTGTCCTGTCTGGCACTCTTTTCTGATGATATTGTATCCAGGAATATTGATCCGTGATTTGTTACTGTATTTAAAAGTGTTTCGTGTGTGGAAGCTACAGAGATGTTCCTGTTTTTTAACATTTGGATTAGCTCTTCTTTATTACCTCTTATATATAAGGTGTAAGTGTCATGGTGAAGATTATGGAAACAGGTGTGGCGTTCTTGGTGGTGGGAGGATAATGTACATGAACTGTAATGTGTGTGTTTTCTGAAACTTTTGATGACTTCATATATTTTTATGTCGACCATGGCCAGTTTTTTGAGGTCCCCTCGCAGATGGACAAGATGGAAGGTGGGATTGGTGGTTTTCCTGGAGGTAGTTACTTTGGCAGAGGAAGTCATGTATGTACAGATAGACTGGACAAGTCTTGGAAGTGGCAGAGTGTTCGCCTGCACAGTTGGCTCATTTGGCTTTGCATTTGTCTTTGTTGCAGGTTTTGTGCTCAAGCAAACAACAGTGTTATTGCTGATGCTGACATTTGAAACATTGTAAGATGGTGGGTGAGGGCCGCGCGTTTTCCACATGGTACTGAAATAGGTCCTTGTAGAATCCTTCGTGGAGAAGGCCGGCAGCTTTGTATTTTGAGGAATGTTGTTGGCTGCTGAATGGTTTTAATTATGATTCTGTGTATACGGAGGAGATATGAATATAGAATAGGAAAGTTTTGTGTGTCTGTAAATAACTATGTCTCTTCGTTCTGTCCAGTTAAATATGGTGTGCCTCAGGGGTCGGTCTTAGGACCCATTTTGTTTTCCTTGCATCTGCATCCCCTTGGACATATTATCCATAAACATGGAATTTCTTTTCATATTTATGCTGATGACACACAAATATACTTGCCCGTTAGATCCACAGACCCTGGAATGCTGAGTTCACTTAACAACTGCCTTTGTGAAGTTAAAAAATGGATGTCAAATAATTTCCTCCAGCTGAACTCAGACAAAACAGAAATCCTGGTCATTGGGTCCCAGCAGATGGCAAAACAAATACTGCCATCTGCTAGTTCCCTAGTAAATCACATTAAGCCTGTGGCAAAGAACCTTGGTGTTTGGTTTGATAGTAATTTAAATGTCGAGCAGCACACCACAAAGCTTGTTCAATCATGTTTTTATCAACTTAGAAATATAGCAAAAATTTGATCTATGTTAACTTTTAAGGACACTGAGACCATTTTACACGCCTTCATCTCATCACGCCTGGATTATTGCAACAGCCTTTTCACCTGTTTAACCCAAAAATCTATTGATCGACTCCAGACTGTCCAGAACTCAGCTGCCAGGCTTTTAACCAGAACAAAGAAATATGACCACATTACTCCTGTTTTAGCTTCATTACACTGGCTCCCAGTATGTTTTAGAATTGACTTTAAAATTCTATTGATTACTTTTAAAGCTCTTCATGGCCTCTCGCCTTGTTATACTTCTGAACTTTTAGTCCCATACACACCTCTGTTGTCTGTTCCAGAGTCTCGACTGAAAACTAAAGGGGACAGAGCGTTTGCTGTCAGGGCCCCGAGGCTCTGGAACAGCCTGCCCGAGGAAATCAGCTCGGCTGAGTCAGTGAACTCTTTTCAATTCAATTTCAATTCAATTCAATTTAATTTTATTTATATAGCGCCAAATCACAACAACAGTTATCTCACAGCGCTTTTCATAAAAGAGCAGGTCTAGACCGTACTCTATGATGGTATTTACAGAAGCCCAACAGTTCCCACCAAGAGCAAGCACTATGCGACAGAGGCAAGGAAAAACTTCCTTTTAAGAGGCAGAAACCTCGAGCAGAACCATGGCTCAGGGTGGGCGGCCATCTGCCTCGACCGGTTGGGGTGAAGAGAGAGAGAGAGAGGGAGGGAGAGAGAGAGCAGGAGAGGAACAGAGAGAAAAAGAGAGGGATGGATGGAGAGAGAGAGGGGAGGGAGGCAGCCTACACAATATACACACACAGAGGTACAGACAGCAAAGGTGATGTTGCTATAGACTAAATAAAAAAATGGTACAGATATTTATAGTAGTGTTAATGGTAACAATCGTAATGTTAATGATTATAATAACAATAATAACAATAAGACTAGCAGAGGGTGTCGAGCAGAGAACCAGAGCCAGAAAACCTGCAGGAAGTGATAGGAGGAGAGAGGAGAGGGACGAGAAAGCACAAGTCTACCAGAAAGGGGAGAAGTTGTGTTAGTAACATGCAATAATGGGATGAGGTTGAATACAGAGGGAGAGAAAGTAGAGGAGAGAGGAGCTCAGTGCATCATAGGAAATCCCCCAGCAGTCTAGGCCTATAGCAGCATAACTAAGGGATGGTTCAGGACTACCTGAGCCAGCCCTAACTATAAGCTTTATCAAAGAGGAAAGTCTTAAGCCTACTCTTAAATGTGGAGATGGTGTCTGCCTCCTGAACCCAAACTGGAACCTGGTTCCACAGGAGAGGAGCTTGATAGCTGAACGCTCTGGCTCCTAGTCTACTTTTGGAGACTCTAGGAACCACAAGTAACCCTGCATTCTGGGAGCGCAGTGCTCTGGTGGGGTAGTAAGGTACTATGAGCTCTTTAAGATAAGATGGTGCCTGACCATTAAGAGCTTTGTAGGTAAGAAGAATGATTTTAAAATATATTCTGGATTTTACAGGAAGCCAATGCAGAGAAGCTAAGACAGGAGAAATATGATCTCTTTTCCTGGTTCCTGTCAGAACACGTGCTGCAGCATTCTGGATCAGCTGAAGAGTATTAATGGACTTTTTCAAGCAGCCTGATAATAAGGAATTGCAGTAATCCAGCCTAGAAGTAACAAATGCATGGACTAGTTTTTCTGCATCATTTTTAGACAGGATGTTCCTGATTTTCGCAATATTACGTAGGTGAAAAAAGGCGGTCCTTGAAATTTGCTTAATGTGAGACTTAAACGACATGTCCTGATCAAAGATAACTCCAAGATTCCTCACAGTGGTGCTGGAGGCCAGGGCGATGCCATCCAGGGAAACTATATCTTTAGATAATGCGTTAGTAACTCCTTTTAAGTCCCTTCTTAAAAAATACTTTTATAGGAGACGCTTTCCCGATCTTATTTGACTTTATTTTATCCCTTTTATTTTATTCTATTTTACTAGTTTTATATTTATCTTAAACGTGTATTTTAGTCTTGTATTGTTTTTGTATTATTGTCTTTTGTGTATTATTGTCTTTACACTTGTTAAAGCACTTTGTAACTTGTTTTTGAAAAGTGCTCTACAAATAAAGATTATTTTTATATTATTATTATTTTACCTATTGACTGGTTGTGTTTATGTTCTGAAATCATTGTTTGATTTGAGCACAGATCACGTGGTTTTGAGGCAAGTGTTTGATTTTGCCAGAAGAGTCAGGGGTTTTGTGAATGTAGTTTAAAGACTGGGTATTGTGTTTAAAGGAGCATGAACAATTTCTCACATCACATCTCTTCTTCTGTCTCAGCTCCTCCAAAAACAGAAGACTTCAGATCAATAGGACAAGATGTCACCAGTATCACTCTGCAGTGGAATAAACTGAACAACAGCATCAGCTTTATTCTCCAGTTTAATGATGCAGAGATCAACATTTTTGTACCAGATGGAATTAGACGAGTAACTCACACAGTCTCATCTCTCACTGCTGCAACTGAATACACATTCACTCTCTTCTCTGTGTTTGAGAACGTCAGAAGCAGTGGAGTAAACATTACTGCAGTTACCGGTAATATATGTCACTTTATTTCTATGCTCTGTATCTGCTTAGCTAACCATCATTTGCTTTTCAGTTACTGGGTATGATAGTATGTGCTACTTAACTAGATACACTTTTTTGTATAGTAAACAAACTCAGCATTGTTTTGGCCAACACTGTAAGATAATTTTTGCGTTAAGAATAATTAATGTTTTAGAACATTTGTTATGTCGCGAGTCTTCATTTATCATGGAGTCCATCTCGGTTGTGATATAAAGTGTGATGGATATGACTACAGAATGTGACATCTGGATCCAGAAAAAAAACATTCTTAATAATACAAAGAATTGTTTCACTTGCTCTGTTCCTGACAGACAGCATTAGTTTGTGTTTATGTGGGGATACAAAATGAACCATCTTTAAATGTCAGAGGGAACATTTTCACTTTTACTGACAGTGTTTCACTGCTCTTTTTGTCTCAGCTCCTCCAAACGCAGAAAACTTCATATCAACAGCACAAGATGAGACCAGTATCACTCTGCAGTGGAATAAAGTGAACAACAACATCAGCTTTATTCTCCAGTTTAATAGTGCAGAGATCGACATCACTGCACCAGATGGAGATGGACCAGTAACTTACACAGTCTCATCTCTCACTGCTGCAACTACATACACATTCATTCTCTTCTCTGTGTATAAGAACGCCAGAAGCAGTGGAGTGAGCGTTACTGCAGTTACTGGTAAGATGTTTGACTTCATTAATGTGTATTTAACCGGGAATAGCATTTTCATCTTGCAACTTGGGAAGCTTCTGGATTGTTAATAGTAGTAATAATAATAGTTTTTTCCTTTATAACATTTCAATTTTTTCTCATTAATCCTTCATGTAATTACAGTTTTTTTCCCCACTCGCTAACATCATTTTGTCCAATCTGTAGTCACATTTTCAAAACTCTAAACTCAGTTAGCCCAATATCAGTCTGCTAAGTTTTTCTTTACTTACTAGCTTACCCAATACCAAAACAATGGATTTGTGATTGAAACAGCTGCTAAGCATTTCTGAATAAACATATCATTGAAACATTGTGAAATAGCTGTTGTATTGTAATTTGGGTAAAATAGATCAACCACAACCAAACACAGAACAACAGAGAGAAAGAAAGAATAATGTACGAACAAGGGAGAAGAATAGTTAGGGGCCAGGGAGGAGTAGTGTTTCTATCCAGGTGCAGAGCTAGAGATGACGATGTGATGTGGATGAGAACATGTGGCCAAATGCTTAAGATCATATGGATTAGAACAGGACAGTACTTTTTTGTTTCAATGTAATTGTGTATTTACATTTACTCATTTTGCTGACACTTTTATCCAAAGTGACTTGAGGAACAACAGACAAGCATCAATAAAGCATCAATACATTAAGAGATCCACAAGTGACAATAAATACTACTAAGAGCTATTAGCATGTACAGCATCAATAGGGTAAATACCAAGGGAAATAAGTAAGAGTTAACAAATATTGAAATCAATACAGGGGAATTGTAAGGAGATAGAAGAACAGCACAGGAAGTGCATGTAGAGGTTAGTGGTTACTGATGTTATAAGAGGAGGTGTTCTCAGAAGAGTTGAGTTTTCAAGAGCTTCTTGAAGTTAAAGGAGGACACCCCTTATCTGATGGCATGTGGTAGAACAGCCTGGACTGAGATTGCTTTGTGTGTAGGGATGGCAGAGCCAGACAGTGTTTGTTTGTAGCACAGTGGCCGAGAAGGAATGTAAACGTATTTGAAAGTATTTTAACACATTTTGAACCAAAAGCCACATAGGTTGGGTCATTTGTTGATCACTGGCTGCAATTACAAATTGTTAATAAAGTTTTTACTTCTGTAATTCTGTGAATTGCATGTTTATTCTACTGTACATTCTATAAAGTATGACTGATTCACTTTTACATAGTTTGATGACCTTTTTTCAAATTGTCTACTGTGTACAGGTAGATCTGAAACATGAAAAGTAATGCAGCTTTGTAATGCCATAAACTGTTTGTAAGTGGTTGTGCTATGATTGATCTGTTCCTCTTGGAAAGAAAATGTTGTGCTAGTGTTTTGACAGAATAAGTTGATTTTGAGTCAGGTTTTCTGTGAGTTTGTGTATGTAGAGAACATTTTCTTTTGCATTTTGAAATGCAGAGTTGGTGTTGAAAGAACAAAATGTGGTTTTGAGCAGAAAATGTACTATTTGGCTAATTGTGTGAGGAGATGTGTTGCTGTGTTAAGACTTTTGATAAAGTATCATAAGTTTAGGGAAACACTTGTTAGCAATTGAAAAAAAACTAAGTTACAGTATTTCTCTTTTTCTTGAAACTCTAAACACAAATCCACAACGTCTCACACAGTTCCCCAAACATCCTATTTTCAGGTCAAAATGAGGCTCTCCACTCAAAACCATTCAGTCTTGCTGAAAAACCAAACTTTGCCCTCAGACATGACACACAAGCCCTCAGAAACACACACACAACACAATCTTACACACTGGTGAGATAAATTCAAAACAATAATACAAAATCTGGTTGTAAGTAATGTTGCTTGTGGCTCAAACACCTTTTCACATAATGAAAACAACAAAATAAATAACAAATGTAAACATTTGCACACATTTCTCATTCATTAGTGTACTGTACAGTACAACACACTAAAAACTAATTATTCTGACACAACGTCCTATCTTTGGTCTGGGACAGACTAGAGATTCTTGTTCTCCACCTACTCCTCTTCCCTCTACCTCCTCCACCTCCTTCTCCTCCCTACTTTTACTCCCTCTTCCTACCCCCTACTCATCCTCCACCTCCTCATCTTCCTCCTATCTCATCTACTCCTCCACTCTGGTGTCCTACACCTCTTCCTTCAGATTTCTCTGGATCTATTTTTCCAAACCTGAACGAACTGACTCCGGCCCTTTTATCTGTCAATTGAAGCTTCTGATTGGTGTGTTATCAATTTTGACTGTTTGTGTTTCCACCTTGGTAGCTGTGTGCTAATTGAGTTCAACCTGTGCTGATTGAGTGAACAATATTGAATTAGTTAGCGTTTTCTCAGTGACCACATGGTGTAGGCAATGAGAAATGAATGTATTTGTGTGTAGAGTTTAGGGAAATGGGTGTGCTTTTTGAAAAATTATGGTTTTGAAATTTTTATTCAAAAGCCTGCTTTTAGTGTTTAAGCAATGGAGAAAAACTGTAACTTTATGTTGTCTTTGTTTTTTTTCTGAGCACTTTTAAAAGGACAATGTTAACATGTTACCTTTCCTTCATTCCTTGTCATTATTTTTATTTCTTTTCTTTTTGGTATAAATTAAAAAAGTATGTTTCATTATATTTTCAGTTATGATATATCTTGCAACTGCAGCTTGTCTGGAACTAGACATTAAATCCAGCACAACTGTTTGGTTTAGTTTCAATGGAGCATTCACTGATTCCATGCTCTGTAGTCATGATACAGTGTATGCTACTAGCATTCAAAAATCTCATCAGAGATTTATTGTAATGTAAATGTATTTTAAAACCCTACAGTACAGCTGAACCCACTTGATGAATAGTGCCTCTTCATGCTTTATAAAAAGATAAGTAATTAAAAACTGATTTTGCTTTGCAGCACTGGTCAATGTTGCCTCTACTCGTCAGTACTACTTTGTGAGTACGCCACTGAACTGGACTGAAGCTCAGAGCTTCTGTAGACAGGTCTACACTGACCTGGCCACCATAGAAAACACAACTGATGTCAGGGCTGTACTCAGGACCACACCAAGCTACACAGGCAAGTTCAAAATATTGGACACATACAGAACATAAACACACTTTATATATACTGATGTATAATCATATACATACACAACAGACAGGAAAAAAACACATATTTGCTTATTTATGATTACGTAAAATATAAAATATTCATTGAAGTTGTTTACATATAACGTAAATTCAGCAACTATTTTAGTTTAAGGTCTTAGATATAATTAATATCTGTGTGAACAGGCAAGGCTTGGATAGGCCTCTATGATCACAGCTGGAGATGGTCCTTGAGTGACAGCAGCTTCTATGGTGAAGGAGAGACAGAGTTTAGAAACTGGGCTCCTGGACATCCCTTCAATCCTTACGGAGTACAGCTCTGTGTGGTGCTTCAAAACTATTACTATAACTTAAATGCCTTTGGAACATGGGTGGACCTTAATTGCACCAACAAATTCTTTTTTGTTTGCTACAATGGTGAGTTTTCTTATAGCGTAAGAATTAACAAAAGGTTAAATAGATCTTCAGCATAGCACATTGTTAACTTCTCTTCATCAATATATTTCCAGGTTCAGTAAATGGCACATCACCCTTTGTAAAGATCAATAAACCTTTGAATTGGACTGAAGCTCAGAGATACTGCAGGGAGAATTATGTCGATCTAGCCAGGTACAGTGTGCACTAATGAAGACTCCAACACATACAATAGTTCAGCACTGAACCAACTACTTAACAACAACTATCTGTTCTGTTAATGACATTTGGTTTATTCAGTTTTGTAATCTCAAAAGGATTGGATAATCTGTCCTACTGTTTTTTTATTTTGATCCTTTTTGTCATTTGAATCCTTCCTGTGTTTGTTCATTTTTTATTATTATCAATTGTTATTATCAATTGTTTTACCTATAAGTTATACATTTTTCATCCTTATAGTAGAATAGAATAGAACACCACTTTATTGTCCAGCGAAGGCTGGAAAATCATCTTTGGTCTCACCAGAACTATAAAAACATCACTATGTTGTATGTAGCATCTGCCTATTTTTTGCTGCTGCTTTATTTCTGTGTTTTATCTGCCGGGATGTAACTAGCCTTCTCGTTTATGATCGAAAAACTTTGTTTAACAACCGAGCGTCCTGTGAGGCTTTGGGGCTGTCTAGAGATGGTTTGGGAGAACAGGCTGGAGGCCTGCCCCCATGGTTGTCCAACATCCCAGACTACCCATGTGTCCCGTGTTTTCTTCCCTGGAAAAAGCACCACAGGAGACATGGAAAGTGTGTCGGCGTGCTTGTTCGCCTCAGGGCTTACCTGAGGTCCTCAGATGTGCCTCATCCTTGTCTACTCTGTGGTGGGGGCTGCTGTCATCCTGCTGTCTGTGGCTGCCGGTGTTCGGAGGTTGCGTGCCTGCGATGGATTCGACCTGTCTTCCCCAGCCCGACTGCTATTGTGGGCTTCCTTCTTGCCAACTTGGTGACAGGGTCATGTTCGGGTGCTGTTCCTCCGACGCTGTTCCACCTTCCTCACGGCCTGACACACGGGGTTCTGGGTGAGGAAACGTGGTGTGAATAACGGCTAATTTGCGCACACTGCAACGTGCTTCAAAACCAGACAGTTTGGATTTAACTCTTTGTATGGCCCAGTTCTTGTTGGTGAGTCAAGTCTGCTTCCTTTTCTGAGCTTCTCCCTCAAACTGTACATTTAGCTCTCCTTGGACCACTGTCAAAGGTGGGGGGCTTGCCACTGTGTTTAAATCCACCTTCCAGTGTTGGCTGTCTGCATCTGTCACCTATTCTAGCTTTGAGCTGCAGCTGTTTGAATTAAACGCCTCATCTCCGACGCTGTGTGCAGTTGTGTATCTTCCACTAAAATTCAAGACGGATTTTATGCAAGTGTTTGCTGATTTTATCGCAGGTATCAGGTTAAACTACGACCATTTTATAATTTATGGTGACTTTAATTTACATGTATGCTGTGAAAGCAAACCTATGGTTAAAGACTTCTTAAATCTTCTTAACTCTTTTAATCTCACTCAATCGATGTCCGGCGCAACACATGAAAAGGAACACACATTAGACCTTGTGCTATCTCATGGCTTGTGTTCATGTAAATGAAATCTGTAACGTATGTATTTCAGATCACTTACCTGTTTTATTTATGATTACAATCCCATTTTCTGTGGTCACAGTCAAACCCCGGAACAGTTCTCTGCTGCTTTCAAAGACTCTGTGCTCTATAACTTGGATGGAGGTGATGCTACTGGTACTGGTGAACTTATTACTCTTTTTAATTCAACCTGCACAAACATCTTGGACTCTGTAGCTCCTTTGAGGATGAAACACACTAAAGCACTTTCAGAGCCCTGGTTAAATGACACCACCCATGCGATCAGACGTGCATGTCGGCAAGCTGAGAGAAGGTGGAAGAAAGATAAACTCAGAGTGTCATATGAAATCCTACAGCAATATCTATCTGACTATCTGAGAGCTGTAAAATCTGCAAAATCTGATTTTATTTCTAAGCTGGTCTCTAACAACTGTCACAGGCCTCAGGTTCTTTTTAATATATTTAACACCATTACAAATCTCCGAAGCTCTGCTCCTATTACACCTATATATTATTAACACCTATGTGACTCTTTCCTAAAATTCTTTTTGCTCTTTGATCTTCTGTAACCACGTCCTCTGACCATGATCCCTCTATTCCTCCTATTTGCCTTGCGGTTCTAGATCAGTTTGAGCCCATATCAATCCTCCCTATCTGAGGTGGTCCATCATCTGCAGCCCACAAGTTGTCACTCAGACAGCATTCCCTTTCGTCTGATTAGAGAAGTCTTTGATACCGTTGGACCATGTATTTTGTCATGACGTGATAAATACCTGTCTTATCTCTGGTTATCTTCCTTCCGTCTTTAAACATGCTGTTGTACAGCTCCTGCTAAAAAGGAAAATCTTGACCCCTCTGTTCTTTCTAACTTCAGGCCCATCTCTAAACTGTCTTTCTTATCTAAAGTCCTGGAGAAAGTAGTTTTTACCCAGCTGCACACATTTTTAATTGATAATAATGTTTATGAAAAGTTCCAGTCCGGCTTCAAACCTCGTCAAAGCACTGAAACGGCCCTTTTAAGAGTTTTTACTGACTTGATTTTAACTGCTGACTCAGGAGTCTCTAGTGCTTAGCCAGTCAATCTTAGACCACTCAATCCTCTTGTCACGGCTGGAAAATTGTGTGGGAATAAAAAGTTATTACTTCAGTCCTATCTAACAGATAGGAGTTTCTCTGTCCACCTCAGTGATTATTCCTCTGAGATGGCCCCATTTACTTGTGGTGTGCTTCAAGGTTCTGTCTTAGGCCCCATCATCTTTTCTTTGTATATGCTGCTGCTGGCCTCCATTTTTGAGGGGTATGAGGTCTCTTTCCACTGTTTTGCAGATGATATTCAAATTGATTTGCTCCTGAATGTAAAAACTAAGGGCTCACTGCACCTCCTGCTTGACTGTATGAAGGACATCAAAACGTGGATGAACCTAAACTTCCTCAACCTAAACAGAAAAAAGACAGAGATCATAGTGTTTGGACACCCTGAACTGCTTGATGTAGATTCTCTCGGCCCTTTGAGTTCAAATAACCGCTCAACTGTGAGGAGTCTTGGTGTTGTATTGGACAGTGCATTTAAATTTGATAAACAGATATCCGCCACTGTTAGATCCTGCTTTTTCCAGTTGAGAACTACAGTATAGCCAAGGTAAAAGCCTATCTCCCTCCTAAAGATTTTGAGAGGGGGATAAATGCTTTTATAACTTCCCGCTTTGACTATTGCAACTCCTTATATGTGGGCTTAGACAAGTCATCTATTCAGCGCCTACAGTTAGTATAGTTAGGGACCACATCACACCTGTGTTGCGCTCCTTCCACTGGCTTCCTGTTCATTACAGGATTGATTTTAAAATCTTACTTTTTACTTTTAAATGCCTTAATGGATTGGCTCCATTGTACTTAACAGAACTTCTTCATGTTCATACTCCAGCTAGAGTGTTGAGATCCACCAATCTCCTCCTCCTGGATGGACCCAGAAGCAGACTTAAAACCAGAGGAGATTGAGCCTTTAGTGCAGCTGCCCCTAACCTGTGGAGAAACCTGCCAGTCCATATCTATGGTGTTATGAGGTTGTGTGGTGTGGGGACAGAGAGGACCCAAAAGCAGCAATCTGAGGGAAGGAGGTTTATTGAGGGATAAAGGGGTAGAGGGACTGGAGTGGAGGGAGAGGTGGATGTCGGGGAAACACAGGCACGGGGAACCACGAAGACTGGGGGCCAGGGAGCCGGGGAACACTGGGGCCGAGGAAGCGAGGAGCGGTGGGAGAACAGGGAGGACGCTGTGGGGGTAGTCTGAGGAGGAGAGGGCCGGTGGATGAGCCCAGCCGACTGAACGGAGGACAAGGGTGAGTGTACCTGGGAGGGAAACAGACAGAGAGACAGGGTTAGAGGTGATGGCGACAAAGCACAGGGAAAATGTGAAAAAACAAGAAACTGAAAATGAAAAGCCTGAACACGGAGGTGGCACCAGGTATGGAGCAACGACGATCAAGCGAGGATGGCATGGAGAACCGGGGTTGAAATACAGGCAGGCATGAGGTGATTACTATTACTGTTTACTGTTTCTAAGGGCAGCTACTACTATGCACTACGCACTTTTGAGTCCATGACAAAGTACCCCTAGGGGGAAAAGTATATTCTATTCTATGTCTGTTCTGTTTTGTGTAGGCTTTGCCCTCTAAGGCTATCGGTATTGGTTTTACCCCTTCCGCGCGTCTGCGCGGCACTGAGAATTTCAGTCTACGCCTACTCACAGTGTGGGCCAATCCTACATCCACACCTTTTGTATATACACACACAACGGTGAGACCCAGCCTTCGGCTCCCTGTTGTCTTCAGCACTAAGCTTGAAGTCTAAGAGCATAGAAGACAAAAGAAGAAGAGAGTAATCTGCCTGCAGCGAGAAGAACGATGCCTTCCTACCTGCCGGCTGTGTCCTCCGTCCGGCTGTGCGAGGTCTGCAAGACGGGCTTCATCCTGCTGGGGGATCTTCATCCCTGATGTGAGCACAGTAGGAGAAGCAGGAGTCAGAAGACTCCGCCCTCTCCCCCCACATGTCCCCCAGCCGCTCTCCTCTTCCCCCGTTCCAACCTTCAGAGAACATTGACCCTGGCCTTCATGAGGGTGATCCCAGCCTCAAGGGGGCTCCGCCGCCACCTCTCTGCCATCCATCGGCGGCCTCGTCAGAGAGCTCCCCGGCCTCCGCCGGCTGCCACCTGCTCATTCCCCCGTATATATACACAAGGTGCAGACATAGGAGAGGCCCACGCTGTGCGATGACTAAAATTTTCGGTGATGCGCAGGCGCGCAGAAGGGGTAAACCCAATAGCCTAACAGGGCTGCGCCTATACTCATAGAATCCGGGTTACAGGTGCTCCGGGTGGAGCGACACAAAGGCCTTTGCGTGAGTTGAAAATTTCCAACTCGAGAGAATTTTTGCGGGTTCTAATCACCTTCTCGTGTTTGTGTGAACACTTTCAGCGAATCTACTCACGGGAGGAAAGCGTCGCAAGGATTAAATTCGCGTTTGGTCTGAATGCACAATAAGACAGAGAGCTGGTCCAGTACCTCCTGAGCAGGGGTAACTCGGATCTAACAGCAGTTCCGCTCCTGAAACTCTACTGGTAGCCCTCGTAGTAATAGTGGGTGTAATCCAAACTTCGGTCTTGTCTGGGATGACTGCGTTGAACGCTTAAACACACAACTTAGGGACAAAGTCTAAAAAACAAACAACTACAACACACTAATAACATTAAAAGTACTAGCGTGACACACTCAGTCAGCAGTGTAGCCGCGCCCCCAG